TGGATTCTTACACTGCACAACACTATAACTTGGTTTAATGTAACATATGAATGTTTTATGAATCCATGGCTCATGGCTCAATATTATGCATGTATTGGGCCATTGCAGCTGGTTCAATAATCCAGTTAAAACAAACCATGGTTTACTGCAGTGTGTACATTTAGTGCTAGACCACTGCTTTGTGGTGGCTAGCAGAAGCTCTCCAGGTTTTCAGAGAGGAGCCTTTCTCAATTCTATGGGATGGGAGGGGCTGAACTTGAGATGTTTTCAATGCAATGCCCATGCTCCACCACTGAACTTCAGCCCTTCCCTTCACCATTAGATTGCTGTAAGAGACTTCTGGGGCTATGCTCTGGCATTTTATCTCCCGCATCAATAGTGATGTTTCCTTGAATAGCATTATTTGACAAAATACAGAGTCAGTAGTCTTTGGGCCCTACAAGACTCAAGGGCTTTGTATTGTAGAGTTTGCAGTACATTTCTCAAGACAGACAACTTCCCACAAGATCTATGGCAGAGGGAGATTCAGCCGTTCACTTAACAATCCTGCCACAGTAGTCATAGCAACTTACTGTAATGTAAAAAGATCACATTAAACCACCGGTTATCATTCCGTGTTACAGAAATGGAAGTGAAAAGAGCAAGCTCTTCCCACTGGGGAGGAGGGAGAGAATGTCAGCTGAAGTTTGCCTTGTCATGTTTGTCAAGAGTGCAAGAAATGGGAAGGAGGGAGGGAGGTGTTCTCATTACTCACCCCTGTGAAAATGGGAAGGGATGGGAGGACAGATAGAGATATAGCTGCCATTAGAAAGCCAAACAAAAATTCTCCTCCTCTGGCAGCATGCTGCAAAATGTCAAGTCTAGTAATGGACAAGACAATAAAACTTGTGATCAATAAAGGCAAACATTTTCAGATTGTAAATTAATATATGGGGACTTCTTGGAGCTTGCATTTCCTCTCACCTAGGAGATGACCCATTCCTCTGAACTGTCCCATGCCCTCTTGGTCTACCACTTTCCCTGCACCTCAGTATGTTTTTGCAGCATGAACGTGACTGAGGAAAGGCTAATTTGGTCTGGATTCCATCTCCTAAGTCCAGCCCCCATCTCAGTTTAAGTGTAGGAAGTTTCACCTTCAGCACCGATGAACATCCCAGGTTGTTAAGTTTCTGCTGTATCTGCCCCATGTTCTTCTTTAACTCAGAAATCTCTTCTATTAGTTGCACAGAAGTTTTTTCCAGTCTCAACAGACACTGTTCTTCTTCTCTAGCCAGTTCCATCAGCACCCTTCTTTCCTCCTCTTCCAGGATCTGATGAAGATGTTGAAATGCTGCTCGGATCTCCGAGTTCAGTTTGCCAGATGTTTCCTAAACAGAGGTAAAGATCCCAAGAAATAGAAAAAAGGTGTTTGGTTGATACATTCAACAGCTATCTTCTTTGCTTTGCTGTAACAGATATTACAACCCTAAAAGCTTTGTGGGAAGTACATCATCACTTTGTTAAGAGAAGAGCAAAACACGACCCTTTTATTTAAAGCATTCAGTTATCTCCTTAGTGATTTGCACTGCCACAGGGCAGCAGTTGTATCTATGCTACCATTTAAACTGGAATTATCCTGTCTCACTTTTACAGAGAATCTAGATGTTGCAGTCAATTCATTGCACCACAATTTTCCCAAGCTGTCTTTCGGTCTTCTTTCAAACAGACTTGGTAAAGATTTTTCTCATTTAAAGGCAATTATGATGCTATTCTTTTTAGCATGGTCTGGCAAAGCACTACTGAGTCTTTTCAGAGCTATTGCAACTTTAATTTGAAGCTTCTTTTTTGTGACTTATTTCTCTAATTGCTTCCTGTTCAGTGTAATTGCAAGTTTACTTTGTTCCTTGATTGGTCTTTATGTGAACAGTTCCTTTCCCACATGTAATAAGTTATAATGACTTGACTCCTTTTGTTCTTTTTCCCCCTTATCTTTCACTGAAAAATACTGTTATATTTTTACACTAAAAACAGTCCTATCACAACAGGGTATGACGCAAATGCATAATGGCCAACTGCTTATGCAGCAATTAATCAGTAATACTACGACTATGTTAATAGTAAACAAGAGTCAGAAGCTGAACATATGAGTTTTGAGGACAGCAGGTTGGAATGAGCCTTTTCTACTGAATGCTCACAACAGACTTGCCTTTCATTTTCATTAGAGTTTTTCTAATTTAGTGGTATTAAAAATGCATAAACATAAGCCCTCTCTTATCTTTTGTACGCTTGTGAGCATTTTATTTGTCTCTCTCCAATTTTCTGTAAACATGGCAGTCCAGCACTTTTGGGGACCCAATATAGTGACAAAGAAATCTCGTCTAATCACATTATCATTGACCTCCTTTCTCCTCTGCCATTCTATTTCATTGCAGACAAAATTATCAAAACAAATTACACAGTGCTTATATTTAGGGGGACCAAAACAAGCCCCAATGTTCATCTGTCTCATATTATTTGATTTCCTTCTTTCTTTTTAACAGTCCTCTGATGCACACTTAATGCGAGGCTTTCTATAGCGAGTCTCAGTAGGCTCAAAGTGATTAGAGTTAATTTTGAATTCAAATTACTTCTTTTGAAATGAACATTATTTCCTACTTACTACTGTCATTTTAAACTAGCAAAGCTTGTTAAACTAGGCTACCAAAGCCTTTTAAAAATTGCTGATGGATGACAACCTCCACTAAAATCATAGTCATTATATATTTCACAAATTGTGCCAACACACAGTTCATCCATTTTCCTTCTGCTCGATACATCCTGCTTCAGGTAGGGAATCTTAATTTCCTATGACCATATCCTGTAATTGCTAGGGCAAGACAATCCACTTATGTCTTTTTGTGATCGTGCATTGTCACCTGTGGCGATTTCTAGTAGCAAAATATAGTGACCTTTATGCAAACATGAAAAAAATTGATCTGGAAAAGGAAACTAGCCAACAAATCTCTTGCATCCAGCTCCATGGAACCATTCTGCACTACAAGTGCAGCTACGTTTTATCATTTTAACTTATGGTAAATATAAAGCAAACAAAAGAGAAAAAGTGATCATTAATGCAATAGTGCTGGGCAGTGCTTTGGGTTCAAAGGGAAAAATGTGTTTCAGAGTGCATAAAGGCCCTCGGGTAGCACTTGCCTGCAACTTCTGCCAGATTCACACAACTGCAGTCCTATGCAGGTGACCCTGGTCGTTCACAAGGGCTCCATTTCAACATAAAATCATTGATAAAGAATCCTGTCTGTGGGAACTGGGGTGTTCAGTTCTAGACCTTCTTCCTCCCATACAGCTTACCTGCACAATGTATACTTTCTTCCCCTTGCTTGGCTGTGATGGATTTTGTTGGGTTTGTCAAGTTCAGAGGCTTCATGGAAGTTGGCCCCCTGACTTTCTCAGCTGGAAACAGAGGGAGTTGCCCCACTCATGCCACCTGACTCATGGTGGCTTCTCTGCCCTGTGCAACTCTTTCATGGTATGTGAGAATGACCTTGGGAGACAGGAGGAAGAGCCACAGACTAGACAATGGTCAGACAAGTGGCACCTGAGTCCACAGAAGGAATGGCAAATGTCTCAGAGGGGACCTTCCCTAGTTTTTTGGACTGTAAAGACTAGCGGGGAGAGATGTACTTTCAGACTTGCAGGATTCTGTTACTGTAACCTTACAATAAAGTTAGAGCTAGTACTTCTGGGTGTGCTTTTTGTCTGGACTACCTTGCAAGGCTGACATCATTGCAGTGGATGGGCCTCCTGATCATGCTGTGGGTGCTTCTGCAGACTCTTGCACTTTGCCCCAGTGACTTTCTGATGCAGGAGTAATCCTTTCCTCTGAAGCCTCCAATCATCATCCTGGCCACACTGTCATTGGAACAAGCCACAACAAGTCTGAAGGCAGTGGCACTATCGGGAGGCCCTTCACTGAGATCATGAAAGAACCACAAGGAGCAGAGAAGTCAATGTGAGGTATGTGGCTTGACCAGGGCATCTCCCTCCAGTGCCAGATGACCAAGTCATGCTGAAGAAGATGGCCATGAAAAAGCCAATGAAACTTCATGACCAGGCTTCTCTGCTGAGATCTGCCATGACTGAGCTTTCCATTTCCAAGTTCCATGACTGAACAAGAAAGAGCAATTACATGGTGCAGACCATCTAACCCTAACTTTTAGAAAATATACTTGATGCATCTGCAAGAAACAAGACAAAAACTGCAAATGTGTGAGGTCTAACCTCTATCATATGTGAAACCCCAGATGACAAAGCCCACTGGTACTTCTGGAGTAAATCCCATAAAACTAAATGAGTCTACTTATGAATAAGCTTCTGACATGAATAAGATTATGGTAAAAAAATCATTAAAAATTATTAACAGGAAAAGAGAAATCAGATATTTTATTTTTAAAAAAAATCTAAGTAATACAACACTCTATTCTGTTTCTAACGAAATCATGCCCGTCCCATTTCTGCTGCCAACATGGCCAAATACACCATGTTGGGAAGGCTGTTAACAGAACTCCCATCAAAAGTCTTTAATTTCAATTTCCCAGCAACAGGTCTCTATTTAATTGAACACATTCATATCATTTTAGTTTTTTTTATTGAACTTCTATATGGGAACCAGGCAGATGATGCTGTCACAGCACTGATCTAGAGCCTGGAAGCTGTGAGGGTCTGGACGGGGAGGAACCAACTTCAACTCAACCCTGGCAAGACAGAGTGGCTTTGTGTTTTTGACCCCCGAGGGTCTTTGATTCTGGACAGAGTTGCACTTGGTGCGCAATTTGGGGATCCTCCTGGACTCACAGCTATTGCTCAATGAGCAGGTGGCAGCTGTGACTGTTGGGGGCGGGGTTGCCCAGATTTGTTTTGTGCTTTAATTGCACCCTTTCCTGGACCAGGAGACCTTGCTCATGGTCACTCACACTTTGATATCTTCCCATTTGGATTACTGAATTGCGCTCTACATGGGGCTGCCCTTGAAGACCATCCCAAAGTTACAACTGGTCCAGAATGCAGTGGCACATGCAGTGTTGGACGTTCGTAGGTTCACCCGTATTACACCTGTTTTGCAAACTACACTGGCTCTGAGTTTTTTTCAGGGTGCAATTCAAGGTACTAGCTATTACCTTTCAAGCCCAACATGGCATGGGATCAGGTTATCTGTGGGACTGCCTCTCCCTGAGATCTGCCCGTCCCACCAGAGCGGATAGGGTAGGTATACTCCAGGTCCCTTCCTTTACACATTCCCATCTTGTGGGTCCTTGAAAGCGTGCCTTTTCCATTGCAGCACCCACCCTACGGAACACTCTTCCCCCCGAGATCCGACCAGCTCCTCCCCTTCTATCCTTCCAGAGAGCACTTAAAACCTGGCTCTTCCCTCAGGCGTTGAGACATGGCGAGGTCAGGGTGGGATGAGAATGTGAGTTGCATCAGGGGAGCGTGACTGACTGTGGCACCACTTTTTCTGTTTTTATTGCTGTTGGTTTTATATTGTTATAAAATTATATTGTTTTACTGGTTGTAAGCTGCACAGGGTTGTTTTAAAAGGGGTGGCTATACAAATGTTTTAAATACACAAAGAAGCAAACCAACCATTTTGCTTACACATCCATTATGCAAATTCAATTCTGTCACAGTTTGGATTGGATTTTGCATTTTAAAAAAATGTTTAGAGATGTTCCTTGAAACCACCTAGTATATTTATCACATTGATTCAACAATTTTTAAAATCACTGCTTCCTCAGCGGTAGCTGTACTAGTTTGTACTGAAACCAAAGAATGAAGAGCTAACAGACTGATTACAGAAGAAACTTTCATGAACTTAAATCTAATGCTTCTGAGACCTGCATGCTTCCAACCTTTACCCATATAAATTTTGTTGAAGGTGGATTAGATGTACTGTTTCCCTGATAAGCTGTAAGACTGTTATTACTTATCATGTTCCTTCACCTTGTTGACACCTCAAGGGTAAATAATAGGCTTTAAGTTTTTTAAAAGCCTATTTAATGATTACTATGGCTGTTCAGTAGAAACCGCATATTAAATATTTCTGACAGGACATCAAGAGGAAAACTAAGATCATTCAGCAAATATCCCTCCCCACTCAGAAGTATATATGCTGGGGTTGGCTGGTTGTTTAAAAAAATAATAATAAAATGTTGTAGTCAAATTTCAGTCCAGAAAGGGCATTCTCAGATGGTGTACAATTTAATATTCTAATACATAATATATCAGAATTAAGAGCATGAGACAAGCAGAGAGTCAGGTTTTTCTATTTCATTTTAATTTTTAAATCATCAATGATTAGTGTATTATCAAGGCAACCAGTATGGCACAGTCA